TTTTCATTTTTAACTTTACAATTCATACACTCAGCACTAGACAAAACAATTTATTGGGAAAATCGGCGTCTCCTACAGATTTTACTCGAAGAATTTGTGGCTTTATGAAGTTCTCTGGAAACTGTCGAAGCCAATGCAACTATTTTGTGTGTGTGTGCGTGCAAGTTTTCTTTTCATTTTTTTATGAACTGAAAAATATATATAGATGCTGATATACATCTATTTTATAAAGCATTATCATCAACTACATTAATATGAACGGAGAGAGAACACACACACATAAAGAGAGAGAGAGCGAGAGAAAGAGCGAGAGAGAGAGAGAGAGAGAGAGAGAGAGAGAGAGAGAGAGAGAGAGAGAGAGAGAGAGAGAAGAGAGAGAGAGAGAGAGAGAGAGAGAGAGAGAGAGAGAGAGAGAGAGAGAGAGAGAGGAGAGAGAGGAGAGGGAGGGAGGAGAGAGAACACAGACAAATAAAAAAAAACGACAGACAGTGACAAACAGACCGACAGACTATGGAGAACTATGGAGAACAATATGGCAGAACGAATCCAACGGTACACGTAATTATCTGCTCAGCAACCTAATCTCACGAACACATCCCGTCAATGTAACGGCTGTTTGAATTTGGCGGGAAATCCGGCTCTAACGGCCATTTCAAAAAGATTATGGTAAAAGGGTCTTTTATCAGCAATGATAAATAATTTCTAAATAAAAGGATTAACGATCTGTGCACGTGTGTGTGTGTGTGTGTGTGTGTGTGTGTGTGTGTGTGTGTGTGTGTGTGTGTGTGTGTGTGTGTGTTGTGTGTGTTGTGTGTGTGTGTTGCGTGTGTGTGTGTGTGTGTGTGTGTGTCTGTGTGTGTGTGTGTGTGTACTGTGTGTGTGTGTGTATGTGTGTGTGTGTGTGTGTGTGTGCGTGTGTGCCGTGTGCGTGTGCGTGTGTCGTGTGCGTGTGCGTGTGTCATTTGTGTGTAAGTGGATGTGGGTGCGTGCGCGCGCCATTCATCACTGATCTTAATATCTTTTTACTGGCGGAAAATGGCAGGAAATAAGACAAAGTTAGAAATATGAGGATCATTGCAAAAATTATAATAACAATAATTACCATCATAACAGAGCAACATTCATAATACTAATGACTATAATCATAATGATAATGACAATAGCATTAGTAAAAACAACAACAATAATAAGAGTAATAATGATAACAACAGCTGATGTGACAAATCAGCTGGTGATGAACGCTCACTCTGGAAACTTCTTTTTCTTTTAGCGCAAATAGATTTTCAAACTGCGCGGTTGAATTATGCAAGGATACGGTATTGCACATTCTTAAAACAAGATCAGAAATACAACTCATAAAATCGATGACTGAAGCTATTGTATGCTTAGTATATCAAGGTTGACTTAGTTTATTAAGAGTTGAGCCCGCTGCACAGTTTGCCGAACCGCGCAGCCCAGAGCGGAAAGTTTCCAGCGTGGCGTAGGGACCCCGAGTCCACCTGACCAACATGGACACTTATAAGCGACGACCTACCTGCAATAGCGACGGGGAAGAGCGTGTAGAAGTTAATGGGCGCCGTGCGGTACCACAGCGTCTCCGTGCCGTTCGCTGCGATGGTGAGAAGGCAGCTGCACAGCGCCATGCTCAGGATCCTGGCGGCAGAAAGGACACGCGTTAGGTTCGGTTGGCACTCGTTAATCGCGCGAATTGTGGCGTGTCTCTTGTGTGGCAGCTCTCCCTGTGTGTCTAGCACCTGTCTGGCCCGGGCCGTGGCATCAGACTAATTGGTTTTGAGTCCGGCAGGTGAGGAGCGAGACAGGTAGACACAAAGATGAATATTAATCCAGCAAGAATAAACCCTAATGGAAACCGGCACAGTCGCACACGCCTTCCCTCCGCACATAAACACACACACACACACAAATACACACGCCTATCGATCTACCCACGTAGGCACTCAAGCATATAAACATGGATCTGGACAGAGAGACAATCAGAAAGGCAGGATAGGGCATTCGAGAAACAAAACCGAGGTGAGCTTTTCCTCGGAGGCTTCCCGAGTGTCTACCAGCTTGGCGTTGGACATTAGAGAGACACCAGGACCTTCCTCCTCGAAAGCTCTGCGCCGCGAGACTGCCTCTTTCCCTCGCCCTCGAAACAAGACCCGAGATAGACTTGCCTCTGAAAGGATTCTAAGGCCAGCTCTTCGACCTCCAGCGGGGCCAAGACGCCGAAGAGGAGACAAGGCAATATGAGGGAGGAAACCGACCCCTAGAAAGAGCTACTTTACGGAGAAATTACTCTTTAAAACGAATCTAAACCAAACGCTATTGATTTCTTGGTCGAGAAAAGGGGAAATTCTTTGGCAAGTAATATTTCCAAGCAACATTCCTAATCCCTTTTTTCCAAACCTAACACAGGGGAATATCGTCGTTAAGTGGCAACATGAAAATGACATTGGTGTTTCTAAACACCTTAATCTAACCCTATTTTGAACGTAACATCGAACAAAACATTGTTCTTCAGTATTATAACATTAGAAAAAAATATATATTAATCAACCTAACGTGGTGGACAATTCGAACGCAAAATCGAAGCATTGCAACGCTCTTCAGAATGAACATAACAGCAACAACAGAAACGTTATGAATCAAAACGATTGTAGATAAATTGAAAACTCCAAACTCCACGGCAAAAGAGACGCCATCTTGATTCCCAAGCACACAAAAACTCCTCTAAACGCTGAAGCCAACTTAGTTCGGCGAATCTTGGTCACACAAACCGAATGGTGACGAGAAAGCTATCGAATAGTAGTTTGCGAACTTGGCAAGCGTAGGGCGGCGGTAATTGCCTTTGGACAAGCCAAGTCCAGGGGGAGGGTCGTGGGGGTGGGGTGTTCGCAGGGGAGGGTCGTGGGGGTGGGGGTGTTGCAGGGGGAAGGGGTCGTGGGGGTGGGGTGTTCCAGGGGAGGTCGTGGGGGGTGGGGTGCAGGGGAGGGTCGTGGGGGTGGGGGTGTTTGCCAGGGGAGGGTCGTGGGGGTGGGGTGTTCCAGGGGGAGGGTCGTGGGGGGTGGGTGTTCCAGGGGGAGGGTCGTGGGGGTGGGGTGTTGCAGGGGAGGGTCGTGGGGGTGGGGTGTTGGGGGAGGGTCGTGGGGTGGGGTGTTCCCAGGGGAGGGTCGTGGGGGTGGGGTGTTCCAAGGGGAGGGTCGTGGGGGTGGGGTGTTCCAGGGGAGGGTCGTGAGGGGTGAGGGTGTTTCCAGGGGGAGGGTCGTGGGGGACGGGGGAGCCTCCTCTCGTCGCCGGAGGGACTCTTCGAAATAACACAGGGACGGAGTGGTAGGAGACAGGGGGGGGGCGTATTGTGTGTGTATGTACGATATACACACGTGCCTGCACAAACACACATAGACAGACAGGCAAGCACACACACACACACCCCCCTACAACACACATACACCTACACACATACACCACACCCACACACATACACACCACACACATACACACACACACACACACACACACACACACCCACACCCACACCACACACACACACACACACACACACAGCACACACACACACACACAGAGTACTCACGGCTTATGGTGGATGCAGAGCGCGCAGTGAGTCATGATGACTGCGCTGAGGATGCGGTGCGTGCCCAGGAGCCGCGACATGGCCGGATTCA